TTTTATTTAATAAAGTAATTTGTACCTAAGCTAAGGTACATTACATGGTGCCGAAACCCGAATTAAAACGGAAAAATGCCAGACCCAGCAACTAATAGCGAAAAACCTGACCACAATATTAGACCACCAAAAAGTTTTGTCATAAACAATTATCAAAATGTGGCAAACGAGTGGAAATTGTGGCTTCAACAATTCGACTGGTACTCCATCGCGACAGAATTGGATACTAAAAAACCAGAAGTTCAGGTCGCAGTATTCATGGCGTCTGTAGGAAAGGACGCAGCAGTAATTTACAATACTTTCAACTTAACAGAAAATGAAAAAAAAAGCGTCAGCACAATCAAAAAGCGATTTACGGAATATTTTACGCCCAAAATCAACGAAACGTATGAAAGATACGTATTCAACACAATCGTACAAAAGGAGTGTCAAACATTTGATGAATTCGTCACAGATCTAAGAAGCAAAATTAAAAACTGTGGTTACGGAACGTTAGAAGACACCTTAATTCGCGACAGAATAGTAGTGGGTATAATAAATGACACAACAAGGAAAAAACTACTAGCGGAAGGCAAATTAACCTTGCAAAAAGCCATAGATATTTGTCACTCTGCAGAGCAAGTCAAGATGCAGGTAACAACAATGAAACAAGCGGCTACAGTTGACGCAGTTACGTGGAACAAAAAGCAAACTAAAAAAGACAACAAAGAACCTAACAAAAAAGATGAAACCTTTCACTGCAATAGGTGTGATACCACGCACGGCCGTCGTAATTGTCCGGCCTTTAAAAAGATTTGCCAAAAATGTAAAAGGAAAGGCCATCTAACCAAATGTTGCAAAAGCAAAACGGTCAACGAACTGGTCGAAGACCGTGAAGGCGACGATTACAGTTTTGTAGTGTCTACGGTAGGTGCGGAATTAGACAGTGTGGACGTCGAAGATTGGTATGAAAAAGCTACGCTGGCCAAAAACGTAATGGTAAAGTTCAAGCTTGACACAGGTAGTCAGTGCAACGTTTTAAACTACGAAACAATAAAGAATATAGACGCTCACATCAGTCCAACGTCAACAAAGTGCTTAACATCGTTTTCAAACCATAAAATCCCCGTACTGGGTGAAGTGGTCATAGACACGCTTATTAAAAAACAAGAAGTACCCATAAAATACTTAGTCGTCAAAGCAGATGTCTCAGCAGTGCTTGGTAAGTCAACATGTGAAAAATTAAAATTAGTAAAGCGTATTGAAACCTTAACTATTGATGAAGACTTATTTGAAGGAATTGGTTGCCTTAAGCAATACATATACGACATAGACTTAATAGAAAATCCGAAACTAAGCATATGCCCTGCACGAAAAATCCCACACACGATTAGACAGCAGGTTAAAGAGGAGCTTGATAGTATGGTTGCGCAAAAAATAATTAAACCCATAACAAAGCCTACACCGGCTGTGTCACCCATGGTGGTAGTAAGAAAAAATAATAAAATTAGACTCTGTTTAGATCCATCGGTGATAAATAAAAATCTCAAAAGACGTTATTATCCACTTAATACGTTAGAAGAAATTACAGCGCGCATTCACGGCTCAAATCGGTTCACGTTACTCGATTGTAAAAAAGGCTTTTGGCAACTGCAAGTAACACCCCGTACTTCAGAATATCTGACATTTAGTACCCCGTTCGGAAGATACTCTTGCTTAAGGATGCCATTTGGCTTAGCATCGGCTCCGGAGGTTTTCCAACAAGTAATGAGTTCGCTGATCGCGGACGTAAAGAACGCTGAGGTATCAATGGATGATGTTCTCTTGCATGCCACCAGCAAACTAGAACTAGAGAGGATCACTCAAGAGGTACTTGACAAATTCAAAATAGCAGGCCTTAAGCTGAACAAAGAAAAATGCGTTTTTAATACACAAGAAGTAAAGTTTCTAGGACATATAGTCTCCGCTGAAGGTGTAAAACCTGATCCCGAAAAAATAGAAACTATAACGAAAATTAAGCAACCGGAAAACGTGAAAGAGTTGCAAAGATTCTTGGGTATGGTAACATACGTGTCGAAATTTATAAAAAATTTGGCAGATATCACCCAACCACTAAGACAATTATTGCGAAAAGATGTTGAGTGGGTATGGGATACGCAACACAATGAAGCATTCAATAAATTGAAAAATCTGCTAAAGAATCCACCAGTATTAGGGTATTATGACACGAAAGCGCCAATTTTGCTGTCAGTAGATGCCAGTAGTTATGCATGTGGCGGAGTACTAATACAAAAACAGAAGCCGATCGCTTACTGTGCAAAATCGTTCACAAAAACCGAACAGGGCTATAGCCAATTAGAAAAAGAGGCAAACGCCATTCTAGTTGCATGTAAAAAATTTCACATGTACATTTGGGGTTGCAAAGATTTAACGATCGAATCTGACCATAAGCCTCTTAAGACGATATTTAAAAAGCCAATAACAGATGCACCACCGAGATTGCAAAGAATCATGTATCAAATCCTGCCTTATAATCCAAAAGTTACTTATAAAAAAGGTACGGAATTGTATGTAGCAGATTTACTGAGTAGAGACTGCGAAAACTTAGTTGGTGAAGATTTAAATACAGAAAATTTACAAATATGTGCTATTGTGCCATTCACGAAAACGCGAAAAGACGAACTTAAAGCAGAGACCGCAAAAAGCAAAGAACTTAATGATTTAAAGTTAATCATACTAAAGGGATGGCCAGATACCATCAATAAAGTGCCCGAAAATCTGAAAAAATATTGGTACTATAGAGAAGCTCTCAGCGTTTATGAGGACATAATTTTTAAAGATCACCGAGTATTGGTTCCAAACACAATGGTGCCATTAGTTATGAAACATTGCCACCTTAGTCATAAAGGACTACAAGGGACGCTAAAACTGGCCCGTGACAATGTATTCTGGCCAACAATGACCAAAGATTTAACTGAGTACATAAAAACTTGCGGTGCATGCAGCAAAATACAAAAAGATAATCAGATGGAACAAATAAATTTACAAGCCGCACCGAAACGGCCATGGAGTATTGTCGCTTCGGACATATTCCACTTAAGAGGAAAGGATTACCTCCTCATTGCAGACAGCTACTCAGGATATTTTGACTTTAAACAACTAAACAATATCACCAGTTTCAACGTCATTAAAGAATTTAAGACATGGTTTGCTACCTTCGGCATTCCGGAGGTACTATTATCAGATGGTGGTAAACAATTTGATTGTAGCGAATTCAGGGCCTTTCAGAAAGAATGGAACTTTGAACATAGAATTTCGAGCCCTCATTTTCCACGTTCAAATGGCCTAGCAGAACGCTATGTACAAGAGGCTAAAAACCTGATGAAAAAGTGCCTTGAAGACAACACGGACATACACCTAGCCTTGCTACATCATCGGAATACTCCACGCTTGGACCTAGGGTCTCCAGTTCAACGATTAATGAACAGAAGAACCAGAACGCTATTACCTACCAATGAAAAGCTACTCAATCCAAAAATAATAAAAAACGTGAGCAAAAAACTAACAAAACTCAAGGAAGGTGAGAAAGGAACAGCAGACAGAAATAAAAAACAGAGTAGAGAATACACTACGCAAGAGAAAGTACTGCTTAGACAAAGCCATAATAACTGGGTTCCAGCTTATATAGTGAGACCAGAAGGACACCGCTCGTACAGAGTACAAACCGAGGATGGCGCCACATACAGAAGAAACACATGGCATCTTAAGCCAGCCACTTCATCCCTTGACGTTAATCCTAACTCGTCCACAGACCGTCCTACTGTTGAACCAAAAATCCAAAGTCCTTCGAGTCCAACACAGCCACCGACAGAAACCACAACACAACAGTGTTCGCCAGATGACGTGCCTCTGGAAGCTGAGCCGTCCACGCCCGCTACACCACAGGATGCAGCTAGTCTCAATCACCCACCGCGCACTCGCTGTGGACGTGTAATTAAGACACCGGCAAGGTACCGCTGAAAAGGAGGGATGTCAAGAACACACCTATCATTGGTTCAGGAACACACATATAATCGATTCACAATACACATTCCTAACTTTGACATATCATTACTACACACTCATTCTTGGTGTACACATTTTTCATATATATATTTGTAGATTGTTCTAGACACAAAGTATTGAATAAAACACGTGCCTTATTAATTGTTCTCTTTTATTTAATAAAGTAATTTGTACCTAAGCTAAGGTACATTACATG